ATCCAACCCTTCGTTGGTTTTCCTTTCCTTACTCTTCTTTCTTCTTTTTTCTTCTTATTCTTTCTCTCTCTCTTGTACCTTCTTCTTCCTTTCTTCTTTCCTTACCAATTTGTTAGGTTCTCAACCTAGATCTCAAACCAACCCAGATTTGGGTTCTCAAATCCATATGTGATACTCAAACCCAAATCATTTCTTGGTTTTAGGGAGGATTTCTAATGATTTCATGAGACAATTGGACAGAAACTCTGATTGGGACAACAAGTTTAGGTTTTATTGGAATCCAAGAACATGTCGATGTTGACTATTGAATCTGGCTCCTAGAACAATGACTTTGCCATACCGTACCCGACATACTTCCGTCCCTTAACAGACGGTGAAGTTTTGCAATGATAGGACAAGATGAGGAAACAGAGACGACCATAACTCTTCTCCTTCGTCAGTGCTGCGAGACTTAGATAGAAAGGGTCGGTTCGGAAGGTGCTGGTGCATTGATGGTTTTGAGATGATAGAGTGTTCAAGAGGTGATGGTAGTTAGAAATTTGGAGAAGAGTGGAAGGTGATTTGGTGGAGGTTGAGATGATTGGAGAAGTTGAGGTCGTAAAAAACAGAGATCAAGAAAATTGGGAGAAAAATGAGCTGACGGCTTAGAGATTGGATTGTATTTATAAGATATAAATAAGTAATAATGAAACGGTAAGTATTAAGGTTAGAGATTAAAATTTTATTAAAATGCCATATCATCACCTTATGGGTGTTTTTCTTACCACATCATTATTTTAAAATAAAAAAACTTTGGATTTTTTTGGCAATTTAACGTGCCACTTGGCATTTTTGTTAACGAAAGATTTAGTTTGGTACCAAAAATGAAAGTTTAAAAATAATTTTAGTATTTTTGGAAATCAAGGACAATTTTAATATATATCAAAATAAAAGGTTGAGGGACCAAAATGATATTTTAACCAAAGGAAAAACCTAACTTTAATTCCAACCCTGCTATTATTAGTGCTGCCGGCTCTTTTGGGATGTGTCCTTCCGCATCAAATACATTACATACTGATGATACTGTGCCTATGAGTCAGGCTGTCACCTTCTCCCAATTAAATATGTCTTGAGTGAAGACTGAGCTTGTGACACATTAGAACCACTATCCGTTTCTCGGTTACTCCTCTTTAACTAACTAGGACATTTTTGTTGTCTTACATTGGATGCATACTAAATGATTTTCACCCCTTTTCAATTGATTCATGTTCCAAGTGGAGAGTTCGGTGGGCTTAGTAATGCTTTCCAAGAACAAAAAAAATATTTTTATAATTGAGATTATATCAAACTATAAAATAATAATTTTTAAATTAAGAAGTGTTATTATGAGCTCTTCTTTATTTAAGAATTTTGATTTTATAATTTGATAAAATCTGAAGTGTAAAACAAGAATCTTTTAAGAAATTCTCTCCTTTTTTTTTCTTTTTCTTTTTTTGCTTTTGAATTTATTATATAATTTGATATAATATCAAATCAGTTGAAGTATACCAATTTATATTTTTTGTCTATTTTAATATACGATGTAGAGATTTCATATAAAACCTAATTTATAATAATCATTGATGTTACTCATTTAATTTTTTAAAATTTTAATATTCATGAAAATAGCATATATTAGTTTTGACTCAAAAAAATTAAAATCTTAATTTGTATTTAAAACCTAAAAACTTAATTCAAAATTTAGAAATGTAGCTTATTAAATAACAATATCTAAATTTAGAAACAGATTATACATTTTAATATAATTAATTTTTAAATGCATCTATCAACATTTAATAAATTAGATTTTTAAATTTAAAAATGCACCATATTAAATAATAATATTTAAATTTAAAAATTAATTATACATTATAATATAATTAGTTTCTAAATGCAAATATCAATATGTAATAAGTTAAATTTTTGAATTTTGAATTAAATTTTAATTAAATGAAATGATGTAGGTTAATGTTGAGATTTTAATTTTTTTTAAGAGTCAAAATTAAAATACATTTTTTTAGATGTTTATAAACTATATTTACATTCATATTTATGTATTTAATGAGCCAACTAAAAATAAAACTAGACGTAAAATCTTAAATATTTCAAACAATTTTTCTTAAAACCTCAAATATTTTGAATAAATTTATTGGTAATTACTAGTGATTGAACCTGAATAAAATTAATACATTTTTAATCAACTAATTTGTGCCATTAGACACATATTAAAAAAAATCCTAACAAAAATACAGGAAACCGCCGCTGCCATACCGCGTTAAAATCCGTCAGAGATTTTCATTTTTTATATTCTCCTGGTAATGGTATTCCGTCGGAAATCCCATTAATTTTTTGATAAAAGAATTTTATAATTTGTGTTGGGGGTATGGACGCAGAGATTCAAATAACCATGGACTGAAATACCTAAAAATAAAATACCATGGGCCACAAGCAGAAAATACGGAACATATTTTCAATTACCTTGAATTATAGGGATAAGACTGCAAATTTCCTCTTTTATTTAAAAAAAAAAATAATTTTTGTATAATATTTTGTTTCATCTTTTTGTATAACTTGATATATTATTTAAATAATTAATATTTTTAATTCATATAAAATAAATAATATTAAATACATTCACTTATTTAATAACATATTAAAATTATATAAAAAATAATATAAAAAAAATATCCCTATAACACTACCTTTGCTAAATAAGTAAATCATCGAAAAGTCCACACCACACAACGGCTAGATAAGCGAAACGGTAACCTCAACGGTCGAAAGTTTTAAAATTTCCTCCTAAAAACCTCTCTAAATTAGTTCCTTCCTTCTTCACTCTCTCAGCATCTCTTCCTCTTTCCCTCTCTCAGCTTCCATATTTGGTTCATCTTTGTCTAAAGACTCAAGGCAAAATCAAAGGTCAAATACGTTTCAAAGATGATGCAAGATGTGTGGAATGCTCCGCCTGGTTTCAGGCCTACCAAGTCGGCTCCTTCTTCTCCGGCAAAGCCTCTTGGAATGTCGAGAACTCGTTCTGAGTCGTTTCATGCCATCCACAAGGTTCCAGTTGGGGACACTCCTTATGTCAGAGCGAAAAATGTTCAAGTAAGTATCTGGGTCATCTATGGAATCTGTTTTGAATCATTGTGAAACATTCTTTTCTCAATTTGATTTATGTTTGGTTTAATGGGTGTTTTGTTTCTTGTGGTTTTACTTGATTAGTTGGTGGATAAAGATCCAGAGAGGGCAATTCCTCTGTTCTGGGCAGCCATCAATGCCGGAGACAGAGTGGATAGTGCCTTGAAAGACATGGCTATTGTGATGAAGCAACAAAATCGAGCCGAGGAGGCCATTGAAGCCATCAAATCATTGCGTAATAGATGCTCAGATCAAGCCCAGGAGTCTCTTGATAACATTCTTCTGGATCTTTATAAGGTCATTCATTTCCCCCCACGATTCTGAAAATGAATTCAAATCTTAAAGTTTCTTAGATCCATCCTGGACTGACCTTGTAATTCCATTGGTTAATTACAGAGATGTGGAAGATTGGAAGACCAAATAGCATTATTGAAGCACAAGTTGTTCTTGATTCAGCAAGGGCTTGCTTTCAATGGGAAGCGCACAAAGACTGCCAGGTCTCAGGGAAAGAAATTTCAGGTTTCAGTGGAACAAGAAGCAACTCGGTTGCTGGTGAGAATTCAATTACTGAGATTTATTCTTCTTTTTCCTTTTCCTCTTAAATTTGCAAGTGGGTAGCGGAACTAAGTCAATTCTATGTTCAGGGGAACTTGGGATGGGCACTGATGCAGCAGAACAACTACATTGAAGCAGAAGATGCATACCGCCGGGCACTAACCATTGCTCCTGACAATAACAAGATGTGTAATCTGGGAATCTGCTTGATGAAACAAGGGAGAATAGCTGAGGCCAAAGAAACCCTCCGGCGAGTGAAACCGGCCGTTGCAGATGGACCAAGGGGAGTAGATTCCCATCTCAAGGCCTATGAGAGGGCACAGCAGATGCTCAAGGATCTTGAATCCGAGATGATGAATAAGGGAGGAGACAGAGTGGAGCAGAGCAGGCTCTTTGATGCCTTCCTTGGTTCTTCATCCATTTGGCAGCCCCTGCCTTGCAAGGATCCTACCATTATCCCACAGGCAAAAGCTGGCAGAGCACAAGATGATTTTGTAGATGAGAATGTTGATGGGAACATTATAGCAAACAAGTTGTTGGTTTCTCAGCAGAGAAATGTGAAGCAATTTGCTTCATTTGCGAATTCTTGGAATATTGATGCTCCACCATTTTATTCTTCAAAATTTCATGAGACCCTCAAGAGAACAAGGTCCGGGAATGCTGCAAATTCTATGAGAGTAGGTGAAATTGGGGATTGTGCCAAGCCTTTCTCTGCAGAACAGGAGAAACCAGAAATCAAAACAAGGAGGAGGCTCTCTCCTTCATCCGAAAATGATTCAGGAGACAAGTTGGCGGAGTTGTTGCCAGACAACAACGAATTTGAAGATGCCATCATTGCTGCAGTACTTGGATCAGAAGCAGGCAAGGAGGTGGAGAACAGCAATTCTACTGGTATATTTCAGAACAAAGTTGACAAGCGGCTCAGGGTTTTCCAGGATATTACCCTCTCTTTGAGTCCTAGAGCCTGACTTGATTTAATCGCTAATTTAATCTCATTAATCCAAGAGTCTGACTTAGGTGGGAGATGAACTTGTTCTCCTTGACTCATGCTGCTCCACAGGTAGCAGTTCTAAACTATCTTACTGTAACCACTAGGCATTATATATTTGTTTAAGTATGCCTCTCAAGCTAGGCACATTCAGCTTAATAAAAAATTCATGTCTTAAGCACTTCCACAATATGAGAAGGTCTTTTATGGTTAATCATACTCTCTTTCTTTCTTTCTTTTTTCCTTTTTCTTGTTGATTAAGATTTCAACAGGACCTCAAAAATCCATCCATAGAATATGGAGAAGGAATTTGATATCATAAAGAACAAACAACTAAATTTTTATTCTCCAATAAGGGGATGGAAAGTTGGAGTTCCCATAATTTCAATTTTCAATTTGAAATAAAGATAAATGTTTTAAACTATGCCAGTCCCTTCAGGCTTTCACTCTTCGGTTGACTTCATAGAAGTAACCCAAGATCATCACAGCCGCGGCAACAGCAACACCCACAGCACTCTGTGCCAATATTCCAGTGCTCTTTGCAGCTTCCTTAGGAGGTGTAGTGAAACCAAGCTCAGAGAGTTTCTTGTGTGAGGCAGCGTAATCTCTGAAGAAAGCATCCTCATCCTGCCATTGGGGGAAAAAATCTCAATGAATCATCCGAATATTTCATCTAAGTTTCATCACATGCTTTTGATAGAAAGAACATTTTACACCTTGTTAATCCATACTAACTGGGGCCAACAACACAGAGGATGCATATAAGGACACCAAGCCAAAGCAATTTGTTCTTACCTTTGCGTACAGCTCAACATAGCGGCAAAACATAGGATCCTCCATTAACGCCTTGTCTGTTGGCAGTTTTAGTAACCCTACTGATTCCCCCTTCAAAAGCTCCCTGTTGCATATATTATTACAAATGAGGGAGTTTTTAGCTTGAATTTTAGCACATCACTTTTATGCTTTAACTGACCAAGTTTTACCAATGTCTTACACAAAGTATGAATTATCAAACTTCAAAGGCTCCTTCGTCCAAGGCCCTTCAAAACCTGATCTATCAAGATGTGCCCTTCCCTAGCAAACCAAAAACATAAAAGAAATTATAAGCTGCATTGAGCTATCGATGAGTATTTTGTTGATTATTGATCCTGTTGAGAAGTACCAATGTGTGGCCACCAGAAAGTGCAACAATGTCCTTGTCAGATAGACCCATCCGGTAAAAGATGTCCTTTAGATGTTTTACTCCTGAAATAAAATGAAATGAGCATAAAGCATAAGTAGTTAAACTTTCCTATTAGTAGTGTAAGAGAGTTCATATGCTTATTTGCAAATTTTTACCGAGTTCCCTGAATAATAAGAGCCTTTTCAGCTCGAAGATAAATTAATAAAAATCCGCAATTTGGGAAACCAGAAGAAAGTATGGATTGCAAAATAAGACCCTATTAAGAGGGAAACATGATAAAACAAGAGCTCAGCTGAATGCCAGTACTAAGTACATTAGCAAGATCATCACCATCAATTCTAGAGGCAATACTGATGAAGTGATTGTTACTAATCAATCATTTGGAAAACCAATACACATTATAAGACACAAGCTCAGCTAAATGAGATATTTTACTTCATGAGCTACTATTAACCTCGAAGTAGCATAGGATCAATGAGGAGACTAGATAAGTGACAAATTGTTCCATACAAGCTCCCTATATGAATAAAAATTTGATGATAATCACTTTAAATAAATAACAAACCTAGTTTGGCATCAGGAAGGCGCCCTTCTGCTGGAGATTTCAATGAATCCTGATTGAGATCGATTATAGAAGCAAAGGTTAAAATGTAACAATATATGATAAAGTTATTAATTACTTCTCCCATGAACATACCTTTCTGCCTGGAACAAAGTCAATAATAGGCCCTCCAGTGACCTCAACTGCAACAACCCCAGCAAGCTGTCCAAAATCAGAAGTACATTAAGAAAAACAACCTTAAATTTTAGTATGCTATCATGTGTAAAACTTTCAACTAATACCTTGAATATAATGATCTATTTACAAACAAACTCCTCCTTCTCAAAATATAATTACCTGATATAGATCAGCATACGTAATTTTTTTATGCCTGGCCTTCACTTCTTCTAATATCAAATTGAAAGGATCAGTCGTTAAAAGACAATTCCCAAAACCTAAACTACCAAATGTAAAAATGACACATTCTAGCAACTGCCTGTAACATTGTAAACTTACAATTTCTTATGTGTAATTTTATGACCAACTCCACTCATTTAAGGACATGTCAAGATTGTACGTGGTATTGCAACTACGAATATTATTGTCGAATACTCATAATAGAATTGCAAAATTGATAACTTTTAAGAAGCAGAATCTCACCACACATGACAACAGCAATTTTGAGGCCATTATTTGAGCTGTGGTTTAACTCATCCTCATTTCTTATTGACCCATTGGGGCCTCCTGTCTTTGTTTTAGCATCATAAGTTCCAGCATCATGCCACCTTCAAAACCAAGCAAATCAAATACTTCTTCTTCTTCTTTTAAAAATTTTTTCACTCAAATTATCTTTACTTAAGAAACTTAATTTCTCGAAAACAAAATTGCATTTGAAGATTCATATCATTCATAATAAAACAAAGTCCAATAAATCACAATTTCTGAACAAATTGACCAAAAAACAAAAAGATATAATTTCATGTTCACAAGTCTCGCCTTCATCTCCATGACTGAACTTACGCGAGACGAAGCATGATAGGAGCACAGTTTTTGCTATAGATTACACCGCGGAGGTCTCGACGAGCCTTTTCGATTTCCTTCAAGTACTCATCATCCACCACCGGAGTCACCGTCGCCATTTTTGAACAAAACTAAACTCGAACGGAGAGGACACATTGTACCGGAGAAATTACTCGCTTTAAATAGCGGAGGAATCGAATAAAAACGGGAATGATTGAGGAGTTGGGTTTGTGGAGAGAAAGGGAAGCAAAGCATTTCGATTTTGCAGAAATGGGAGGGAAAGGGGAGGAAGCTTGCAGTTACGGGCTACGGCGGCGGAAATGAATGTATTCAATTGATTGAGTTTAGTTTGTAGATGCTCTATCAGCGCGTGGTGAGAACGCGCATGATAACGACGTGACTTAATTGGCGAAGCGGTTACAAATGCTATGACAGCGCGTGGGATGAAAAACCGGATCCTTATCTCGAATTTTATTGGGTTTCGGGCTTTTTCATATGCTCTCGGGTAATAGACCCAATTCATTGCGTATTCCTGAAACCGTTTATCGTTATTCCGCGCCCACACTAAATCCCTTTGGGCCCAACCCATTGTTTCACTTCGGTTTTTCTTTTTTTTTTTAAACATAGGGAAATTTTGGGTACAAGGATAGATTTTTTAAAAGGATTTGTTTAATTTGTATTTTTAAAGTATAAATTAAATGAACCTGGCTCTTCGGGTCAAGTGGCTCTAGTTACGCTTGTAAAGTTTATGTCCCTCTCCCCTAGAGCAACGGTTCGAGCCGGTTCCATGACAAAATATTCAAAAAAAAAAGTATAGATTAAATATATATTAAACATATTTTTTATTATAAATTTATATTAAAAAATAAAAATTAATATTTAGTTTATCAATTATTTAATTAAATTCATCAATTTATATTAAAATTAATAAAAACTTTTATAATTTTTTATATATCTTTATAATAAAAAAATACTCTTAACCTATGTTTTAATGACATAAATTTAAAAAACCTTTTTTCAAGTAATTGATGGAAGTAAAACTTTCAAGAGAAATGATTTTGAGACAATCTTTTTGTATTTTTTTTTGCTATAATCTAACGTATCATTTAAATGATTGGTTCTTTTAATTCATGTGAGATTATTAAATATATCAACTCATTTAATGATATATGAAAATTATATCAAAAAATAATATTAAAAAATTATCCTTATAGTACTACTTAATTTTCAATCACTTAAATTCAAGTTTTTAGACTTGATAATAAACTATTATACCTAGTGAATCATTAGACACATTGAGTTGATTCGTCATTCCTTTCACATTAGCTATTTACAATCGTGGGCTCAGATCAATTTAAATGTGAATTAGTACTCTTTTTTCTTTTTAAGTTTTTATGGTACTAATAATTATCTTGTCTGGTGGTGGTAGGTAAATTTAAGGGCTAACAAATGCATATTTTATGGGGTTGCATGCAATAGGCCAATGTTGTGCAAAATCAATTCAATTCTGGTCCTAAATTAAAGTGAGGACCACTTATCTGAAAATATGCTATAGACATCCTTTTTTTTATTTTTATTTTAACATTTTATAATTCAAATAATTAATGCATTTTTCAGCTAATTTTATGTACTTTAAGATTACTTTTTTTTTTTACAAATAATCGTACATTTTATAAGTAATTAGTCCACCGTAACATTAAAAAATAAAGATAAAAAAAGGAACAGGTTTAAGTAGCTTGAGAAACTGACAAGGAGATGCACATGCAATGTAAAACCCATCTCTATCTTGGTGTTGTGGAGATAATTTTTGTAGTGGAAGGCATGATGGTCTGACAAGGACTTTATTCTTACTTTCATGTGACTGTTTATGGTTTACAATGAATCTGCTAGCCAGGTTTGATTTGGTGAAGATACTAGATTTTGCTGCTTCTTCTTCTTTTAAGATGCAGAAAATAGCATCACCCTATAACTCTAATTATTTTTAATTAGGAATTTGAAACTTGAAATTTAAAACTTTTAAGTTTGAATCTTGAATTAAATAAAAAAATTTTAAAATTATCATTTTTTATATAATTCAATATAATCAAATGTAAATTAAAAAAAATCAACCTGTAAATATTTTTGAAAAGAATTTTTTAACTTGTATGTTTATAATAGATTTATTATATATTTTTACCATTAATATATATATATATATATAAATCCTCAATAATTTGGGGTGTGTAGAAATTGGTTCGGTTTGATGTGATCCTGAACCGGGATCTAAATCGAAAATGGTCAGTTCTAAAATTTTTGAATCACTACCTAATCTGGTACACAAGGATGCTGAACCAACCAGCACCCAAATTGGTGGGTTTCAATTTTTAAACTTTCATTTCGGTTATTGATTCAACCAATTACCTAGAATATTAGTTTTATACAAATTAAATCATACTAAACCAAGCATAAATTTTCCATTGCTTTTTTTTTAAAAAAAAAACAGAAATTTCTCATATAATATAAATATCTAAAGGGATTAATGTTTATCAATAAAACTTATAAAAAAAAGTAAGTAAAAATTATATTATTTTAATAAAATATCACAAAAAATTATTAAAATAATTTTATTTTACTTTGCAAATTAAGATATTTTTGTTTTTTTAATTAAACTTTATTAAAACTATGTATTTTAAATTTTTTTACATAATTTTTTACAATATAAATTAATATCTACTTTTACTAATACATTTCAATGTAATTACTTTAAGTTCGATTAATAAATATTTTTACATATAACAACACCTAATGTTTCTATATCTCCCCTTTTTTTTGTTCCATTGATAATTGGCTACACTCATTTTCTATCTCAAAATATCTTCTCGACTCATTTTAATAGTAAAAACATGAAACCACTACTCCTTATAAGTCATGTTATTTCCTTTTTACAACTAGTATTTTAGTTTGGTTCAGTTTGGTTCAAGGATGAACCGAAGTCCAAGGAGAATGGAACTCTATATATATATATATATTGATAAGGGCAATGATTAGGAACTCTATATATATAATACAATAATAATTACAACACAAATCCTAAACAGACATTAATCCTCCCCCCTAATTATTCCTTAATAACCTATTCGTTATTATTTTGAAACAAATTGCCATATTTATACGTCCGGTTCCTACTGCACCATCCGTTGAAAATGTAGAGTTACTAAAACACCGCCAGAACTTTCCTAACTCCGGCTTCCACCACGCTCGTACAGCAGCAACGCTGCATGCTCGTGATGAGGGGTCTGTTTTAGGGGCAAAAACTTATTTGAGGTCCTTTAACTTGTTAAATTTGAAAGTTTTAACCTTTCACCACCTATTAAAATTAAAAAAAATAACTTTTATTTTACAGTGATTGTTAATTTTTTTTAACTAAAAATAAGTTTTTATTAACTAATAGTTAATTAATAATTAGTTCAAAAAATTTAAAAATATTATAAACTTAATTTTGTTAATTTTGTTAATTAAAAAAAATTATCAACTAACAATCAATTAATAAAGTTAATAATTAATTAATAAAACTAATAAAATATACAAAATAAAAATTATTTTTTTTAATTTTAATAAGTAAAGGATTAAAAATATCATAATATAAGATAAATAGTTAAAATTTATAAATTTAAAAATCTAATAAGGTGAGAAGTTAAAAATATCATAAAATGAGGAGTTAAAACTTTCAAACTTAATAAGTTGAGGGTTTAAAAAGTAAGGTTTTGCCTCTGTTTCGGTATTAGAAAATCCGGGGCATTTTGGTCATTGACTCGAATATAAAATTACAGGCACTCTGCCCAACGTTCATCTGCCACTGCTTCCTTCCCAAGACTGTTCTGCACTCTCTGCTCCTCCACCTCCACCGCCTCCAGTCCACCTCCTGTCTACTGCTCCACGAACCCCGACATCTCTTCTACACACGGTTATATCTCTGGGGTCCAGAGTCGAAGAAAAAGAACAGATATTTTCACGTACAAGGAAGAAAAAGTGTCATTTCAGGAAACTATCTCAGGATAAGAAAGTGCTTACGACCCTGGACCATCGACTTTGACTTTCGCAGAGATGAAACTATCATGAAAGACCCGGCATTGATGAAAGCAACAGATCTTTTTACCAGAGTAGAATCAGAATCTACTTTCTTTTTCTAAGGAGTTTTTTTATTTCTTTTGGTGTTGGGTTTGATTTTTGGAGGAATCGGAGAAGAAAGGGCGGAGGGAAACGGGGAAATGGGGTGTTGGTACTCGAGATTAGACAGGGAAGAGATGGTGTCGCGGTGCAAGGCGAGGAAGAGGTACATGAAACAGTTGGTTAAGGCGAGACATGCACTGGCCGCTTCGCATTCGCTGTATCTCCGCTCCTTACGGAGTACTGGTTCTGCTCTCCTTCAGTTTGCCAACAACGAGACCACACTTCAGCTCCACCACCACCGCCGTCACCACCACGCGCCGCCACATCCTCGGCCTCCCCTGCCCCCACCCTCACGGCCGCCGTTGAGTCCCAGCTCTGACACATGGACATCGAGCACGACGGCTTCCACTGCTCTTCCCCCGCCTCCTCCTCCTCCGCCTTCTAGCAGCTGGGACTTCTGGGATCCGTTTGTCCCACCTGCCCCGTCGCGATCGGCAACGGAGGAGGAGTGGGAGGCACGCACCTCTGCATCAGACGTGCCTGCCAGTGCCACCGCAACCACTACAGTCACCGGAGCTGCGAGTGTGGCGGCGCCGCCTTCTGTTGTAAGCGGGTTCTCAAAGGATACAGGGAGCGAGCTTGCCGTGGTTGTCTCCAGAAATAGTAAAGAACTGGTAGAGATTGTGAAGGAGGTCGACGAATACTTTCTCAAAGCAGCCGACGCCGGCGGCCAGCTGTCCGTGCTGCTCGAAGTTTCAAATTGTAACATTCCTCCACAAATCAAAGGAGGTATGTATCATACATTTACTTTGCATGTCTCCACCATTCTTCCTTCTCTAGACGAATCCAATTGTTTTTCACCATTGTAGGTAAAGTGTATAACTACGGCTGCAATTTGAATCCAACATTGTGGCCATGGAGTTCTAGTCTGAAATTAGACGGATGTGGCAAGCTAGGAGATGAGAGATTTGGCAGCAATCTCGGCGGTAGTGGCGGCGCTGCTGTTGGGAGCAGCAGCCACTGTTCTACCGTGGAGAGATTATATGCTTGGGAAAAGAAACTCTACCAGGAGGTCAAGGTAGTATTTCATCCTTTGATGAATTTTTAAGAACTCATTTACCCATGAATCCCTTAGTGTTTTTCTGTTGATTTTGTCTAGATGTTAGTATATAGAATCGAAATTTTTACTCTCTTTATCTTTGCCTTTGTTTAGGATGCTGAATCTATAAAGATAGAGCATGAGAAGAGGCTGGGGCAGTTGAGGAAGCTGGAGGTGAAGAGAGCTGACTATGTGAAGACTGAGAAGACCAAGAAAGAAGTGGAAAGGTTAGAGTCACAATTGATGGTTGCATCACAGGCAATTGAGACAACCTCAACTGAGATCATCAAGCTGAGGGAGGCAGAGCTTTACCCTCAACTCCTTGACCTTGTTAAAGGGTTAGTCATTTGTGCATTTCTTCATTTATTGTACCGTTTTATTCCTCAATTAACCTTGTGCATTTATAAGCTGGACCAGGCTAACAACCCCAATGCATTCACGTGATTTTGTTACATAATTTCCAATCCTAAGCAAGAGGCTTTTGTAGGACCCCTTTGTACTGTACATTTAATGAGGATGGCATACTCTTTAGACTGTATATTTTTCTTGGGTTTTCTCTGGACTTTAGTCAAGGACGTTTCCAGGTTCCACTTGCAAAACTAGGATGCAAGATGACAAGATCAATGCAAGTCAACTATTGGGGCAGAAGATTTGTACATGAAATTGTTTTTGACTGCGTTTACTGCTATGCCCTTCTCTGTGCTGTAATATCAGGTTCTCTGTATTAACATTTAATCAATTCTTGCTTCCCTCTGGTTTCAGCTCCTCCTTGGAAACAATACTATGGCCCTAAGTATACCCAAAGTTACAAGATTAATGTGCTTCTGGTAGAATGGTACTTTGACTGTACTTGTGTTTGGGTCCCATGTGAGGGGTCTACCTGAACCTTCCCCACCCCCTCTTTTTTTATTTTTGGTTGGCTTAATGTTCCATTGTCATGAGATTCCAATAGGAGATTTTTTTTTTTTTTTTCCAACATAGTTCTTTTTAAACTTTATCTTCTAGTGTCTTTTTTTCTTGAATCAAAATCTGTCACACCATCATCAAATGGGGTATTTTTTCTAAATGCTTTCATTTAATCAGGAGTTCCATTTTTTCTGATCATGAATCAGATATGTTAAATGTTACTAATTTGGTTGTCGTGCAGATTGATGTGCATGTGGAGAAGTATGTATGAGATCCATCAGGTTCACACTCACATTGTTCAGCAGCTTAAATACCTTAACTTCATCCCTTCAAATGAACCGACATCAGAGATTCACAGGCAATCAACCCTCCAGCTTGAGCTAGAAGTCCAACAATGGCACCTATCGTTCTGCAACATAGTCAAGGCACAGAGAGACTACATCCAGTCCCTTGCTGGCTGGCTCCGGCTCAGCCTTTTTGAGTTTAGCAAAAACCCGCTTTCAAGAACCAGTCAAGAATCAAAAATTTACACTTTTTGTGAGGAATGGCATCTTGCAGTTGACAGGATTCCGGACAAGGTAGCATCTGAAGGCATCAAGAGCTTCTTAA